GAAACCTGTGGGAAGTACTCCGAACCTGGAAGACAACGACACGATGCACGAGAAAATGATGGAGCTTGAGCCTCTCTTGGAAGCCTCAGGGGAGCGTAATCTCAGGAGCATTGAGATCTCTCATGGGGAATGCCCATGCCACTGTTTGGCACAAACGGTGTGGTATCCAGATCACAAGAACCTTTGCCTGGTGTGGGATGTGGAAGAGATTCGGTCGATCGGACTACCGGATCACCGGCAGAAGGTGACGCTCTTAATAGTGAGTACGATGTTAGCTCTGAGATGGATAAAAGAGAATATAACGAAGTATCGGGAGGCGACGACGCCAACGGCTGAGTCAATATACGCGATAGACTACAGCAGGAGACTCGAGTTGTTTGAGACTGCGTGCAAAGTATTCGCCATACCGACGGAAGTCAGGCACGTATGGAGTCGCTTGAGGTACTTTCCATGGTTTCGGGCGACACTGACGTCTTGGTTGTACATGACAACGAAAGATCACATGAGAAAACATCAAAAAGAGTATCGACAGTTCCAGGCCGAGATTGGGCCGGAAGCTTTCAAGAGACCCCTGCTAACCCATCGTAATGCGATCACGACAGGATGGAAAAGAGTGGGTAAGATGTCTAGAGACAATACCAAAGCGAGGGAGTCGATACTAGAGGAAGACCTGGCGAAGAACGTGAGCTTGAGCCTGCACAACTCCTTTTGCTTGAACCGAGAAGCTAGGGTGAAGGCACTACCCAACCAAGCAAAGAGGTTGCAGGAGCAGAGAGAGTGGATGCGATCCTATGAACAGCTGAAGGCTTGGGAAGAGATTGTGATTAGTTCCGACGATGAAGAGGAACTGTTGAGACAGTTTGCCGCATCTAGCACTTCAGGATGCAGTACCTCCAAGGCGAAGAGTACGAGATGAATGGGCAAATCGGATGGATCTTGAGTCTTGAGAGGGAAGGGGGGCTTGAGCGTGGATCCGAGTGAAACTTGGATTCACGAAAAAGAAATTTTAACAAAGCAAATATTGTTACTAATATACTATATTTATTATATAAATCGAAATGCTGCATGACAATTTCCTAATTGAATGGGACAAAAGAAATTTTAAATTGGCTTGAAAAGCGAGAATTCAAGGGTGCAGGTGTGTGCAGATTTTGATTGCTGTTTAGCGATAGTGTGAAAATTTTACATGGCTGTGAATTTTGGGGTGTAGATAAGCTTAAGTCTGCTGCAAACTTCTGTAAATGACCACTGGCACTGTATCTTGAGCAACACTCGGTTTTCTGGGACTCACTGGCAGAAGACAGCACGCGATGAGGACATCGATCTCGAGTCCGGGGAGTATGTGCCAGTCGGTCATATTTGGAAGTTTGACCTTGAGAGAAGCAAAAAACACTTGATTTTGGAGTGAAATTTAATTTTTCAAAATTTCGAATGGAACCTGTCATGCACGATTTTCTCGCGAGAACTGAAAATCAGAAAAAGAGATCAGAACAATTTCAGAACAATTGAGTCGAAAACGCGGGAAAGTCGCAAGAAAAAGCAGTAGGAAATTGCTATTCGCAATTTCCATCACTATAATAATCGAGAGTAGAGCTGTCCCATCTGTGACAGAGACGAGAGCATTCCCTCGAATTGGATTATAACGACTGGAGTATTATTCGGAACTGGACTAGAGTGAACCTTCGGTGGAAAGGTGGACAGCTTGAGTGTCCTAATGGTTCACAAGAAAACTATTGTCTAGAGTATAAACTCGTTCTCATTGTTAAAACTATAAAACATTAGACTCATTTAGTTACGTTATTTAATTCTTGAGTTAGTTACCGACTGGATTATTTCCCACTTCTTGAGCGTGCTACTATGTGAGTACAAATTTAAATTCCCAGAGTGTGTTTTATAATTGTTATGTTGAGGTAAGGCGAGTTTTAGGTTGATCCATCTGAAATGGATCAAAGTTACACTGTCTAATAAAAAGTAAATTAACGGATTGTTCCAACCCGGTTTTTAACGGCGTTCATGTATTTTGGGTATCTAGAGACCTAAGTATGGGGACGTTTCTAATTCTAGAGTGGGGGGATATTTTAGTAGTAGCCTTTAAGCTGTAACGGGTCGTAGTCTCATGTCACAAGCGAACCGAACTGGCTCCGACCGTTCTTGAGGTAGAAAAACACAAGAGATAGTGTCCCTGACCCTTGAGCCAGTGGTTATAGGGCCTATTTTTCTTATGCCTCATGTGTGACTGCAGTAGACGAATGTTACAATCTGAGCAGATGAAGGGTAGCTTATTCTTGAAATTGAACCTCATTTCTATGGATTTAAGGGTGTTGACAACAAAATTATGATCCATAAACCAACCACTTGAAGATTCTTTCAATAATGATTCGACTAAGATCGTCGAGTCCTCTAACGCCGATTACCGGATTAATGTCGTCTGCAAACTTAACGTGGCAAGCATTTTCGCAAAGGCACTTCAAGTCGTCGAACGACATATTGAAGGACGGTGGTCCAAGTACCGTCCCTGACGTACACCTTGGTTGATGGAGGTTGGTTTTGACAGATCGTTCTGATATGATACAATCTGCACTCGGTCTGATAGGAAACTTTTCAGCCAAGTCACTAAATGTGTACAGACTCCTGGGTTTATCTGTTTGATCTGACTAATCATAAAATGATGGAACACTCTGTCGAATGCTTTGGACAGTTCCAGCGAGAAGAGACGTACACCGTAATAATGATGGAGATCGAAGTCACGGACTGTGTGTAGTAATCGAAGAGCAGCGTTGACGGTTGAGCCTCCTGTTTTGAAACCAAATTGATAATTGTTCAGTGAACTTTTGTAGATGTTTTTTTATGAACTTGGTGTAGACCAATCGCTCAAAATGTCTGCTGAGTACTGGTGTGATTGATATTGGCCGTAATTGGTCCATGGTGTCTGGTTGGGGGATTTTGGCTAGGGGGACAATTTTGAAATCTTGAAAGACATCGGGAAAACACCACTTCTGAAAGATAAATTGTAGATGTGTTGAATACTAAGAGCTCAGTTATGGGCATTTTCGCTCAAGACCTACGCTGGAATGCCATCAAACCCCACTGCAGTTTTTTTCTCAGACTTTGATAAACTTCGTGAAGAGTCAAGGCTGGGTAAGCGCCGTTCTGACTTTCTATAATTTCTGGTTCTACATAGTTTTCTGTATGGCAAATATTAGCGAAATATTCATTGATATCATCAGGACTAAAATCAAGTGTCGCCGAATCTGACTTGGTTCGTCCCGTGGTCTGGTTCACAACACGCCACCAGTATTTCGTACCTTTACGATTCGTATTCTCAGATTATCACGTATCAATATTTTTTTTGCCTTCCAAATCAGCAGCTTTCTGATGTTTTTCTAGAGAATACACTCTGCTTTTCTGCTTGGTATGAAATTTTATTAGTGGGGTGATATAAATAGGGTCTCTAGTACTCAGTTTTACTTTCTTTAGTGGACACTAGTGGTTAGTTTAACCATCAAAACCCAAATAATTAATGCATTGCTTTCTCAACATTAGTGTACTCCAGAATATAGTCAAAATCTTGATTATCCAAGGCATGATTTGAAGATTGTCGATTCTTATCCCGCTGGTCACAAAAAATTACCATTTTTTGGAGGTTTTCTGGTCTGTTTGTAGGAGAACAAATTACAGCTAGATGATCAGTTGGCACGGAGAGACTACTCACTTGAACATCTTGGAATGGAGATGGAAATGACGTGAGAATTTGGTCAAGCTGTGTGCGTCTTCGTGTAAAAGCTTTAAAAACCTGCTTGAAACCGGATAACAAAGCTATGTCGAAATAATTAAAATCTCTGCTCAGAAAAATCGTTGAGCAAGACAATGATCTGAATGAATAATCAGCAACACTGGAAATATGGATAGATAAGTCAACTTCATTGGTAGCATCTGAGGGGTGATACAACAGTGCAGAAACGTACACTCTGTGGTTCAGAATGAACGAGAACCAGAAAACTTCAAAATCTTCACACCCATAGAGAAAAAACTGGCATACTCTGAATCCATCTCGGTAATACACAACTACGCCACCACAAATTTGCTTGTTAGAATTTATTGTCGTCCTGTCAAACCGCAAAACACTGTAGCCATCGATTTTGACAAAACTGTTATGTAATTCTGAATTGAGCCATGTTTCAGTAACAAAACACATGCCAATATCATTTGCAATTATATCAGCAGCTAGACGCTCAACGCAGTGTGGTTTTTTGATTGATCTAACATTTATTAAAATTGCTTTTGGAGCTAGTCAAAGGTTTGATATAAGTGTTCCATCTCGTTGAAGGTGGAAACTGTAGAGTTTCAAAGATGTGTTGTAGAGTTTGAAAGCAAAAGCTTTGTGGAGAACTAACTTGGCGTCCCAGTTGCAACTAAATTCAACAAAAACTGCCCTTTTCTGTCAGCGCTATATAGTCCCAAACTTGTTATATTCACAACAAGCACCTAGAGGTCCAGAGAGTGAAGCAGTGTTTGGACCGAGTTTTGCTCATCCATTTGTCTTTGAAAAGGCTCATTGTTTATGCTTTCAGTGAAACCTTTAAAACGCAATTGTTTGCTAACAAAGTGGTGCGATGGCGCCGCTCTTTGACATGTTGATCCGAAATCTTGATTGGCATGTGAAAAACCTTTGATGTCATGCGCGTTAGCACCAACAGCTTGCTTTATTTCTTGAATCTCCTCAAGAATTTTCTTTTGATCCAGCAGATTACTTTTGATCCAGCAGATTACTTTTGACTACTTTTGATCCAGCAGACAGTGCCATTTACAGGCAAGTATTTTGATATAAGATCGACTTCTGTTTGCGTCAGGTTGACGCATACCGGATGCCACCAGGAATCGCAAGAGTCGAATCCAATAGATGTTCCACCAGTCTTTGTTTTGTCGCACTTCGGAGAGTGATCCTTGAGGTTCTTTGTATTCTGCTGCTTGGCTCGTCCTCCTCCCATATCAAATCTATGTTTAATAAGTTTATTACAACAATTAGGCTAAGAGGAACAACTGAAAGAACATGACTTGTTGAAAAAGAGAAGACAAATAGTAACAAACGATAATGTAGATACGAAGTCTGTTCAGATTAAACGTGGTACCTTGGGTGTTAAGAGTTAAGTTATTGATCTGGACGAGTGACTCGAAAAATCAACCAGAGAAATCAATTTGTTATGTTAAAAAATAAGAAGCATTTACAAATCCGAAAGACCTAAAGTTTTAGCAACTCATGCTTCTATTAACACTCATGACATAACTTGTACAACGGAAACTTGGCTTACAAATGACGTTTTAGAGGGGGAATCATTTTTGCCTCAATTTTAGTGTTTTTGTGCAAACAGAAGTTTAGTAGAAGGCCAAAATACCTCAGACGTTGGAACAATGATTTGTGTTATTTGAGCATTTATGGCAGAGCGGTTGAAGTTCGGCTATGAAGTAAACGGATCAATAGTTGCATGTACTGTATTCATGAGAAACAAAAAAAGTTCTGCTATGCTAGTTACGTCTTATTTACCCCCCTCGAACAGCAAGTATGCCTTTACATCTAAGGATCTGCAAAATTTATTCATTTTTATCAAGAAGGCCAAAACAAAAGTAGACGAAATTATTATGTGCGGAGATTTCATCTTTCGTACAAAAAATTGGAACACGCTTTCATCATGTCGACCGATTGAAACTGAATTCTTAAAACTAATGGAGCAAATCAACCAAGAGCATAAAATAGACTTTTTTACAGCAAGTACTGGAATTTTGGACTTAATTCTTGTAAGCAATGGCATACAAGCACTTGACATTTCAAAACCAAACGTGGAACCTGAATTTTCAAATCTGTCGAACCACTACCCCATCAAAACGAAGCTGTGTGTTGAAACAAAATGCTTATTGAAAAGAACTTTTTGCCCAGAGGTGGTGTATAGCTATTGCAAAGGTGATTATCCCAAGCTTGCTGAAACTTTGATCATTTACAAGTTTGAACCTTATTGCTGATCGAATCCTGATAAAATAATTGAATTGTGGTATAAACGGCTTCAAAATGCTTTAAAAGAAACAATACCTAAACGAACTGCTCATAAAGCGTTATTGCCTCCCTGGATAACTAACAAAACTTCACATTATATTAAATGCTTGCAAACTGCAAGAAGAAAATATCCTGAAACTCATGCAAAGGTACAAACTTTTTAAGAATTGGTCAATATATCTAGTAATATGGACAAAATTCAGTTCGAAGACAAATTAGCACAAAGAAGATCAACCTCCAATCTTTTCAAGTACTTCAAAGCCTTTTGAAAATCAAACTTACCACCCAAAATGTTTTACAACGAACTCACTGCTGATTCTGACAAAGATAAAGCAGACTTATTTGCAAAGTTCTTTTCTTCGGTTTATATTATCCAGCTCATTTGAGTTTTCTTGCGATTTGTCTGCTGATATGCCAGTTCTAAAGGAAGAAAGCATCGAAACAAAAGAAGAAATGGAAATTTATTAGAACTCAAATGTTAACAAAAGTAAAGGACCAGATGAAATACCACCTTTTTTGGTTCACAAACTCTGTATTTCTCTATCCCCTTCTCTTACACAGATATATCGAAAATTTTTGCAAACCGACGAATATTCAAAAAGTTGGAAAGTTGCAACAGTGTCTGCTCTCCATAAAAAGAACGACAAATGCGATGTATCAAATTACGGCCCAGTGTCTCTTCTATCGATCCCTTCCAAAATTCTTGAACGGATTTTGTTCATTCGGTTATACAACCACTATTCACAAAATTGATACAGCTCACAGTTTGGATATAGAAGGAATCGATAGACGATTACTCAATTATTAACATTCCTTCAAAAGGTGTATAATGGTATTGAAAATCAAAAGGAAATAGATGTTATATTCACTGATTATAGCAAAACTTTGGACCGCGTCGATCATGGTGTGCTCCTTAAAAAAACTAGTTGAAACCGGTATCAGAGTTAAATTACTAAATTTACTGAAATTTTATGTAACAGATCGTAGTAACACAACGAATTTACAAGTAGAGTACCTCAGGGGAGCATTATTGCGCCATTACTTTTTCTTGTTTTCGTGACGATTTGACTTCAAAATGCGAATGTCTTTTCCCTCTTTTGTTTGCTGATGATGCGAAATTTATAAGCATTGAAATAGAACACAATTTAGTACAAAAAGATTTAAACGCACTTTTGAAATGTATTGAAACAAATCACATGCCCTTCAACATGGATGATTGTGCTCATGTTTCTATCAACATTAAGGAAAAGAATTTTTTTTGGAAATCACGTGATCGAAAAAGAGTTAACGCAATCAGATTTAGGTTTGATGCTCTCGAGTGACCTTAAATGGGACAAACACATCGAAAAATTCTGTAAAAAGACAAGAAAAGTTTTCTTCATGATCAAACGTAATGTTTCAAATATATATTGGACAACGAAGCTCAATCTGTATAAATCAATGACAGTGCCAATAATATATTACGGAAGTCCTTGCTATGGGTTGAGCAAAAACATATTGGTTATATTAGAAAAGGTACAAAAGCGCATCGTTAAGTGGATATCATCAATTGGTGGACGCTACAAAGCTTGTCTCAAATTTTTGGGATTATTACCGCTCCCTACGTACATTCAAGTAAACAACCTTTTAATATTGTCCAAAATGATTTTGGGTAGATGTGATAACGAACTAATTGACATGCCATTGTACTTAGATTCCTCGCGCTGTAATCTGTTTCAGCTGCAGAGACCAAGAAAGAGATTCTTGGAAGAAAATTTCATAAATATCAGACATACGCAAAAATTCATCTGAGTAAGAAAAATGGACTAAAGATATCGATATTACGTGTTTTCTGGAGAAGATTTGAACAAAATGAAGAGTTGAAAAAATGCCCGTGGAGAGTTGGCTGTGACTGCTTGATACATAACTGCAGAAACAAGACTAATCTATAGAACTCGCAAACTGAATGGGGTGATAGCCCCTTGTACTGACCAGCATAGAAGCCCTACTACTACTACTACTACTACTAATACTACTACTACTACTACTACTACTACTACTACTACTACTACTACTACTACTACTACTACTACTAAGTAATTACGGAAAATCAGAGCACATATCGACTACGAATCGTCACCGGTGGAGAATGTGTTCGAGCGGATTGACTGGATCACAGACTGCTTGTAACCTTTCAGTTTTGTCAAAAATGAAACAAATTGAAGGTATACGAGCTTGAAGCCGATTTCACGCCACACTAGAGAGGTAATCGATGGGTTTTTGGCCAAGCTGGATCTCGGTCCAAGATTTGTTGTAGGGGAAATTCTGTATTCCAATGGATGAGGGTCTAAAGGCAGCACCCATTAGATTGCAGCTTTTGCTGACTTTCAGATATGAAGGCAAGCGCATGTGATTCCATTGTTTTGTTGTTTCGTTCGCCATTTTACATCGAGAACAACTTGAATGCGTAGAAGCACAGCAGGTTTGAAATTGTTTGTTCAAGATTTGTATTGAAAGAAGAATAAAAGAGCTAATTTGTCAATAAGAGGCGAAAACTGCGAGTTGAATAAGTATTTTGCTCGTTAATTTGGAACAAAAAATGGTGGGTTGATGGTCCCATCGGCTATACCCGCAAAAAACATGATATTCGCTGAACACAATAACATTCTAGACAAATTGAACACGCTGATGGGTAAGCTGGACAACTTTTAAGTATTGCTTAGGTGTTTCTTCTTCTTTTTCTTCTTTTTTTATGTTTAGGTCAAACTGCAGAAACGAATAAAAATTTAGGTGAACTTTAGTAAAATTGCATCTCTGGAACAACAGCTCCCTTGGGTGCTATCATAAGTTTTGATTGTTCAAGATTATTAGTATGATTATGGGTATTATGATTTTTATGAATTTTTAAGAGTCTTTTAAAATGGGCCCTTCCGTCATGCGGTCGGATATGGCCGTACCAACGCTATATTATTACATTTTCGAAATTTCATGAATAAATCAAGTCGGTATTAATGCTTCAAGAGAATTGTCAAAAAAATCTACCCTCCTCGATTATAGCACAGATAGAATTGTCTATGTTGGATGTATTTTTAAGATTTTTGCACCCCCTAAGGCAGAAGATTGCACTCCTCAGACGTGCAAAACTTATATTTGTTCTTATAAAGTTCATTGTGTCCGAGTATGAGTAGTTCCGTTTCTCGCTTAGTTTCTATGCTAGTTTCTGGATGGTTTTTGTAGAGCCTGGTGCTTCTCCTCCGGTACACGCAAAAATTAGTGGAACAAAGCTGCTGTGTTCTACATCCAGAATTCTTTGTTAGTATTTTAATGTTTTGATATTTGTAGAGTTCAGATTTAGTATTTGGACAGGATTTAGCATGGGGGTTGAAAATTTTTACATCGAAAATGGTTCGGCTGAATCGGCCTCCGCAGAGTCCATTTGCCTTGATGTCAAGTCGAGCGTCATCCTCAGTAGTGGCTGTTTTGTTGTGAAATTTTTCTTTTTCCAGCGATTGAATTTTCGGCTCTATTTCAACATTATGGCATACTTCGTCCAGGAGTGTCGCAAAGGTATCGCGAATTTTATTATTTCTTAGGTGAGTGTATCCACCTTTGGGACAGTGTAGAGAATGGGTCAGTCTGAACGGTTGTCCATATGGGCATGTATGTGGGGTGTTTGGTGGTTCCCATCCGTATCTCAGATGTAATACATCTTTAAATTCTGATTTGTTGAGAGAAAAATTATATTTTTTAAGGGTAGCACGTTTAGCCAATTCGATGCTCCTTTCTGTGACGTTAGGTTCATTGTCAGTTTTTTTTCTGATTAGCAATTTTCCATAATTTTAGCCTTTTTTGAGAGTGTGATGTTCTGTCTCTCAGTTTTGATGTGTCTATTTATCAGAGTTTGTTCCGTTCCAGCTATTCCTGGATCACTGTTTTCTAACGGATCACAAATGGCTTGAGACCTCTCATAATTTCTGGAACAGTCCGT